CTTGCCCCTTAAAATTTGCAAGTTAGAGTTTATTTTATTTCTCCTCTCTTCCTCCCTTAGAAGCAGATGCAGGAGGCCGGAGAAATTAATTCCAAAAGGGGTTCGCATTTAGAAAACTTAAGATTTAGCAATCAATTAGTGCGGCATTGTATGGAGCTCCGAAGGTGTAAATCCTTCCAAGTTTCTGGATTATTGACTGTTACGCTCTATCGGGTGCCTAATATCCAGACCTACATGTGTAATACGCGTACCAAAGCAGGCATTTAGCAAGGTAAATTATATGCCCCGAAAAAGCGTGCTAGCGCCAGTGCGTTTTAAGCCGGTCCCCTGTCCTCCCTCCTTGTCTTAAACCGGGATGTGAGACACCCCCGCGCCAGTCGCACACCSCTCCGCAACCCCGTCCGCGGCTGCGGTGGAAGCCGGGCTGCAAMCCTGCAAACGCTATCGCTCCCTTTCCACAACGGAGCATTATTGAAAGAAAAAAAAAGTGCCCCCGAAACGCGGCTTATTGAACGGGAAAAAAAGCCCCCAACAACGAACTCTTCCCCGGGCTCAGATGTCAACTCTTTTTCTAAGGAAGTTATTTCCCTCCAAAAATGCTAATGAATATCTAAGGAAAAATAAACGTTCTTTTATTTTATAGGTAGAAACAACTGTACAGGTTTGTAAAGATCGGTATCTCATTGTTTTGGGAAGGCACATGCGGATGAGCCCGCACGTACTAAAAACAAAGCAAGAAGAGGGCAACGGGTAGCACAGAAAATAWCCAAAAGGTGATATATGCATATCCGCGAGTTATTTTGACCTTTGCGAGGTGGAGCACTCCGATCTGACGACGAGGGACTCGCGCACKCCGCCGGGGTTCAAAGTGCGGGAAGGCACGGTCCGAAAACAAAAGAACGGAGCCGGGCCGGGACACGGCCCCGGGCGCGCCAGCTCGGGGAGGGGGAGCCCGGGAACCCCCCGGCCCCGGCTGGACGGGGCGCGCTGCCGGCGCTGCTCCGCAGCCGCAGAGCCGATCGGGGGGTGCTGGGGGCTGCGCGGGCCGGCGAGACTGTGGATTGGGATGTGGATTGGGATGTRGATTGGGAGGCAGACGGCGCTGCCCGCTCACATGCCCGTCGCGGGGGGTTGCGCAGCAGGCGGCCTGAATCGGCCTTTCCGAGGGCCGAGGGGGTGCGAGGGGGTGTGAGACTGTTGTTTAACCACTATCCCCCCCTCTTCTGCAAATAGATATTTTGCAAGTTCCTCATTTCGTTGTGGCTTTTTCTCCCTCTCTTTGCGGCCTCCATTGTTCCAGGTTCACACTGCCACGGCCGATAAGGAGAAGGAAAGCCCCCAGAAAAAAAAAAAAAAAAAAAAAAAGAAAAAAAGAAAGAAAGAAAAATCCCCACCACGACCCAAGATTTTGATTTACGACCTAATCAAAACATTATATCTTTGGTCAAGTGGCGCAGAAAAATGATGACCCTCAAGGCTTCAGCTAGGGGGAGAAAGAGAAATTCAGATTACTCTCRGAGTGATTTATGTCCTCTCTGAGCGGTCACGTTGATTTTTCATCGTTTGAGCCATTACACAGTAGAGTGAAAAACTCTGATCCTTTTTTTTTTTTTTGGTCCGGAATCGGTATACATTATTCTTCTAAATGTATATGCATATAGTATGTATTATATACCTAATATTTCTCCACGCACACACATATTCTAAATATATATATATATATCGATTTTTATACATATATATATATTTATATTTATAAGAGAGGACTATAAATAACCAACGCCACGGAGAAGAAACGAGAGCTGAAAAGAGCGTGTAAAATACCGTGCCAACACCCGCAGCGATCCGCTCGCTGTTTCCAAGCCCGTCCCGCCGAGAGTTTGGGCAGAAAAGCTCTCTCGTTTSTCCGGCTTCCCTGCTCCCCGAGGGGGGCTGCCAGCCCTGCGCCGCCCTCACCCTCAGAGCTTTCGCCCGCAGCGCAGTGAGGAGGAGGAGGAGGAGAAGCAGGAGGAAGGGGACATTTTTGGCAGCCTCTGGCACTCACCCGTGTGAGGTGTTGACACGGTGCGGAAAAAACGAAGGGAGCGGCGTTGGGTCGGGGCGGCGGCGAGGCCGGGCAAGCCGAGGGGGGCCTCCCGCCTACCCCCATACCAAGCACGGAGGTTCTTTCTCTCCACCGACCCCCTGGCAAGAACACACAGAGGAAGAGAAAAGACGCGTAAAATATTAAAATAATTTTAAACCCCCCCCCCCCAACCACACAACAAAATGAGAGACACAAAAATAAATCTAATAAAAACGTGATGAGAAAGGAAAAAGGGGGGGGAGGGGGGAAGAAAATAAAAATAAAGGATGTTAGAAATAAAAAATGAGGGATATAAAGTGGAGGCTGGGGTTTGTCCACCCTGCAAATGGACCCACGGGGGGATACCCTGATTTCGCGCGGAGGAAGCATTTTCCTCGTGGGAAAGCGCAGGGCGCTGACCTCTCCCCTCTCCCTCTCTTCTCCTCTCCTCTTCCAGTCTAACTGCTGGGGGGGGGAAGGAACCCCCTCCGCCGTGTCCGCCCGCCCCCGTGCTACCTCGGCGGCTCCTCCCGACCTCACAAAGGGGCGCAACGAGCGCGCAAAAACCRCTCAAGGAGCCAGCTCGCCCTCACCACGTAGAGTTTCCTCCCTGCCGTCCCCCGCGCTCCTCGCCAGTTTACGCGCCTGCGGAATTTCTTCGTGTCTCGATATTCCCGCCGGATCCTGCGGCTGCCCACCCTCTCGGCAGCCCCTCCTCGCCCGCCCGGGGTGTGAGCCGATGGGAGGGCCGAGCAGCAATTCATCTTGATTTGTTTCAATTGTCTGGCGATGGCAAAGTTATAATCCTGTATAATTTCACGAACAAGCAGGTTGAGAATGAATGGGTCAATATTATTTAAAACAAAACACACGAGAGCACGACCTTTCCCTTCAACGACGTGTTGCAGCACGAAGTCGCAGGAAACTCGGGCTAACCTCTCACCCCCCRCGCTCCACGGGGTTGCGGTTATTTGGGCTGCTCTTTGTTTCTCTTCATGTCTGAAAGGGGGATTTGGAAATAGAAATGTAATATTACATGAAGGATCTCCCCGCTGAAGGGAGAAGGTGAGCACAGGGGGCGGCAAAGGGGACAAATTATTTTGAACAGGAGCAGTTTGTTTGCAAGTTGGCTTTTTATAATTTCCTCTMCCCACCTCCCCTCCACTCCCTTTTCTATAATGTAATAAAAGCTTCCTTCACAGYAGGACAAATTTACGCTCGAGATACAGCAGCTTTGTGGCTGGTCTCGAGTCCAACGATGTCAATAAATCCATTTTCTTGGGGCTGCACGGGGAAATAAAAGGACCCAAGGGGTCCGAGTCCCATGTTTCTCTAGTATGCAATGTTAGTGAGAGGGATTTTTTTTTTAATGCGAAAAAATAAATGCCAGCATTTATTTGTATTGCAAAAGTACTACCTCGAGTTGCCAGAGAACAAGATCCAGTGTCAGCTATCAGTCAATCATTGCAGACTAGTTACCWCTGCACAGTTTGGCTCAGTAAATAAAAAATCCAGACAGAACTGTATGCTGTATATTTTACTCCCATGAAATAAAACACATTTTTTTTCATGTTTGCTGAAAAGTAAAACAATAATATTGTACGAAATGTTATACACAGGGCATGTTTTACATTGCAATATCAGAAACATCATTGCATCCACCAGAGGTACTATTCTAAAACTGATATTCACACAATTTTTTTAATAATTATATGTTAGAAACATACAGTGTCGCATTTAGTATATACATTCCCTTGCTCGCAAGCGAAAAAATCCTAATCGCTTCTGTGTAACATGCTTTATTTTAAAGCCTAACCTTTTAAAAACACTGTTGTGATATTACTAACAACTGCTTTTATAAAATTAATTTGACATTTCGATATATATACATCCTTTCAGTCATTTTTTTATGTTAACAATGCTAAACTTAAAAAATAACAAGCTTATAGTAACATTAAAATGTCATATCATATCCAGTCAAACATTTGTCCATATATATATATAAATATATATATGTCCTTGTAACTGTTGAAATACTCTTAGTGAAAGAAAGATCTCAGAATCTGTAGGAGGTCCTTTGAAAACAAAGGAACTATCTTATTTCAGTGGTTTCCTCTTTTTTTTTTTTTTTTTCTTTCTCTTTCTCTTTCTCTTTCTCTTTCTCTTTCTCTTTCTCTTTCTCTTTCTCTTTCTCTTTTTTTTTTTTTTTTCTCCTCTCTCTCTTTCTCTCTCTCTTCCTCTCTGCCTCTGATTTTTCCTCCTTTCTCTTTCTCTCTAGTGCCCATTACTTTCTAGTGAAATTCTCAGTCTCTGCGGGAAATGGGGAGGGATTCCCAGGCAGTGTTTCCTACTTGGATGTTTCACACGGGTCTGTCCACCGCGTACTGGCAAGCGCTCAGGTTGGAAGCGGGGTTCTGCACGCTGGCATAGCCAAAACTGGAGTGCTGCTTGGCTTTAAGTCTCAGACTCGCCAAGCTCGAGTTACATGTGTCCCTATAAACATACGGAGGTGTTGGAGGAGCATAAGGACAGGCTGGCGTTGGCACTGCAGAATTCAGGGAGGGATTGCTCAAGTTGTTCAAGTTATTCAGGCTGTTGAGGCTGGAGCCCGGCACCCCGGTGACTGCAGAAGGTACCATGCTTGAAGACATACTCATGGAGGATATGGAGTTTGGAGGGGAGAACATGCTCTGAGAAGACAGAGGGTTGACATTCATGGAGTTGAAAAAAGGAAAGCTTTTGGTGGAGAGGGAAGCGGAGGTCAGGCCCTTGGCTGCCCAGTTGTTGTACGAGTAGCCGGGGTACATGTCATCGTAGGGCTGCATGAGGCCGTTAAACTGCGGACCGAAGCCGTTTTTGCATAGCTCGGCTTGCTGGTTCCTTTCTCTCTTTCTCCATTTGGCTCTGCGGTTCTTGAACCAAACCTTTGGAAACGGGGGGAGAGGGAGGGAGGGAGGGAGGGAGGGAGATGCGAGTTAGTCAGGTACCACCATCACCAGCACCTCAGCCCTTTACAGGTTCTCGGGGCAACAGCCGAGCCTGTCCGTATATAAGTTATATAGAAAAATGTGTAGGAACACACATATCTGTATCTATCTCCATATATAGGTGCCCCTCCTCCTCTGTGGAGCCCTGCGCTGGGCCGGGGTACGGATGCGCTGCCGGGACAGCCGAGCATCCTCGGGGCCGCCGGGGTTTAGCAACGCAGATTCGCGGCCTCATCATTCC